CGTCATAAAATTCCTTCGAGCAGGAACTAGTTGATGCGGTTATCACATGTGCCTTAGTACAACATGTGAAAAGGTTCAGGGAACGGCAGCTAAGCTGATTCCCGGAACAGCGAAGCTTCTGTATGAAGCTCGACTGGCCAAGCTGAACTTTTTACCGTTGTCATATCGCAGAGCTAGAGGCGACTTGATTACAGTTTTCAAATTGCTTAGTGCCAAATTTTCACCTGATATGCCCTCATTTTTCTTGTCTTCCAAAACAGAGAATTTACGGGGACACTCCAAAAAATTTCACAAGCCAAGAACAAATTACTTGTCAGCTGACTATCGACTTTCCCATCGAAACATCAACGAGTGGAACTCATTACCTCATCACGTGGTTGAGGCTCCATCCGTCGATTCTTTCAAAAGAAAGTTGGATCAACTGAGGGACCACCATTGCTAGGACTAACACAGGCCATCAGGCCTCCTGTCCTTCCCAAACTGAAACTGAATGTGTTCAGCATGCATGATCATTACTCGGTTTCTCGCCGTTCTCTTGTTTCGTTGTAATTAACAGTCTTGGTTATTTATCTAAAGTAGTACTTTCTTGCTCTTATTGGTCACCATATAAAGCAAGTTTTACTTTATCTATCGAGATAGTCTCTTCCTTTTCACTATTTTTAATGATGAAGTGTTTAGTTGTTCGTTTAACGATTCGGTAAGGTCCTTTATATGGTTGCTCTAACGGCTTTTCAGCGGTGTTGCCCACCTTTTTACGTCCGAGTTAATTTTCAGCCAGAAAAGGCTCCGTGTTGAGTTTTGCCGTAGGTTGGATCCTAGGGCATGATAGCTTCTGGAGCCGTTGAAATACTCTTCGATGACAAACGTTAGGGACGAAAGAACAGTTGTGACGCGTTGAAACGTTACAGATGGTATACAAATCAGAGAGACAAATTGGTACGTGTTTAAGAATCAAGTTAGACTTTTCTTTGCAGGTTTTTAAATCTGCGTCGCCTACTTGTAACTTGGCCATTGTTTCAAGATTGACAAATCGTTTTTGTATCAACCTTTTGATGTCTATTCGTGATAAGGTGTCTGTTACAATATCAGAATATCCTCTGACTAATTGAATGTCGGTTGTACATTGTGAGATGTAATCCTATTTTCTTACTTCACGTGGTGAACGACGATCATATTACGTATTTAAGGAATAAAATGATGTTTTTGTAATCGATCATTATCGTAAATTCACGTTCCTGTAGTAGAAAACTGAGATATTTTGCCGCCAAAAATTGCTAGTAATTCACTCTCGAAGGCGCTCTAGCGTATTTGAGCTGGTGGAAGACATTCAGTAAAAAACTAAGGTGGGATGTTGCCGTTGACTCGTTGTAGTACTGCCTCTGCGTCGTTTTTGTGAAGCACCGGTACACAAACTTAGGTAGGTTGTAGGTTCAAAGTTTAGAAGTGCTAACATAGTAACTTTTGACATCATGGAATTTGCGTTACTAAAAGCCGCTTTTGCATCAAGTGGGAAAGTAAAATCGTTCTTTTACGTCTTCGGTTCTTTTGGAACAAGTCTCAGAGGATCGTTTAGAGTTTATAATGCTGTTGCACAGTTGGGTAAGAAGCGGCTGTAAAAATAACATAGTCCGAGAAATCGTCGCAGAGATTTTAGTGAATTGGGTTTTGGATAGCTAATAACTGCTTCGACCTTTACCTGAATCGGTTGGATACCATGAAAGTCAATTTGGTGTCCCAGAAATTATAAAGCTGTAACGCCGAGTATACACTTTGAAGGACTATCTACAACCCCATAACTTTTGAAGCGGCCAGAAAATGCATAAATGCTTTAAATGTTCTTCTGTGAAAGTGCTGGAGACAAACATATACAAAATGCAGACCTCTTATGACCTCATCCATGAATCATTCAAACCATTGAGCAGCGTTTTTTACTCGCGACGGCATCCTCAAAAATTCAAACAAACCAAAGGATCTAATCACGTTCATTTTTCAATACTCTCTTGTGCCATCAGGATTTGATGGTATGCTCTTTTGAGGTCCGGCTTTAGAAAAACCTCTTTTCAATGTCAGGTCGAAGAGAAATCATGCCAATTGGTAGTTAGGTACTTGTCTGGAACTTCTGATTATCTAAACGACTGTAATCACCACATAGAACTCAGTCCTGATCCTCCATGTGCACCAAATGTAAAGGAGAAGCCCACGGACTCCTAGTTTCCCGAATGATGCTGAAGCGCCTCATACGTTCGAATTCCCTCTTTGCAATCTTCACATTATCCAGAGGTAGACTACATGATTTGGTACACATTAGTGGACCAGTGTAAGTTATTTGGTGTTTTATATCGTGTGATATACGTTGATATCGGTTATTAGTTTCACCAATGCTGTCACACTTTACTAGAACATCAAAGAAAACCTTATTTGTCGGTTTTAACACGTAAACAACCGACAGCAGAGCCATTTACCTGCAGGAAAGTGTGCCTATCTACCTTTTTTCACTCATGTCAACCAGTAAGTTATAAGCACTAAGAAAATCAGCTCCAAGAATCAGTTGCTTTACTTGCGCGACAGTGAAAACCCATGAAAAACATCGACGAAGTCCGTGGTCTAATGTCAATGAATTTTCTCCGTATGTTTGGCTGACTGCTTCGTTAGTAGCCTGTATTAACTCTTTGTTACGTGAATTGTGTCGCTGTCGTGATAATGATAGGTGCATTGTGCTGGTCTCTGTTCTTATGTCGGCCATATAGTCCAGGCCAGAAGTATCATCTTTGTCATGTAAGATACAGAACGTCTGTTTTCCCGAAAGGTTCGCCGCTGTTGCTACGTTACTGACCCTTACCACTAGTACACACCTCTGTATGACGTACAGTTACACTGTCTTGCGCATCGCCATGCTTTAGTGTCGTACATTCAGTGGTACCAACAGACTCCCGGAGTTGGACTAGGAGACTTAGAATGCTGTCTTGAAAATGGACTTTTCGTCCCACATGAACAATCCATAAAGGTGCTTTTGATGCTGCAAGCTTAATAAACATATTATCTAACTGCTGTTGAAATGTCACGTCATTGGAACCCGCTCTGTCAGCGCCGTACACTGTGCTTACACTGTTTCCGTGTTAATTATTGGTATAGATCCGCTACAAAACCATAACCTATCAATCGACTCAAGGAGGCGGTTAGTGGACGAGAATATCAACTTATCAGTTTGTGGAAATTCATTTTCTAGTTGTAGGTTATGCGAAGTCGCATTTGAACATATTATCGACCCGTGATTCCAACAGATACTCGACAAGTACCCTAGGCGTTACAAGACACGGAGGGGACTGCTGCATGTGACTAGACATGTTACGCACCACATCACGACTACAGAATCACTAGGACAAAAATGGATTTGAGCATAAAACAGACCTATACAACTATCAGATATCCAATGGGCATCTCATTTACGCATGGTGCATAGAAAGGACAGCAATGATTGGCGCCAGACTGGTAATTATAGAAGGCTCAACGCAAAAACCACGCTTGATTGTTATCCCTTGCCACTTATTCTGGACTTAACAGCTACCCTAAAAAGTACGACTCATCTTCACTATCTGGACCTTGTATTCGAGCGACTGCAAAAATACGGCCTTATGTTAACATTTAGCAGTGTCAAGTAGAAACCAACTACCTGAACCTACTCAGATACACAATTGTTGCTCAAGGTATTGACCCTCCGCAAAGCAAAGCTGCGGACGCTCTTTAGTAACCAGCACTAACAACAGTCAAGCAATTACGTATGTAAGGAATGGATTGGGAGATTTTTGAAAATCTTCATTTGAACGTTGCCGTACTAAACGTACGTTGCATGGCACAAAGCATTCCGAAAAAGATCCTGATCATCTTTCAGTAGGGAAGTCGTAAGGTTTGCGAAATTAATATGCTTTAATTACCTTTATTCGCAAACAAAAATGTCAGGTATGGTTCTCGTCACAGAAAGAATAATTTACGCAATATGTAATATTTATAGGTGTTTTAGTTATCGATGAAGTGGATTTTTAAAATAAGAATTCGCCATAACTATTCTTTCTTCCCTTCTGAGTTGTATATTATACCATTGCTTTTTTCTCTACCATTCTCCATAATGATTCAACAGCTAATTAGGTTTTAAAGAGGAAATAAACCACTAGAATGAACAAATGTTTTACATTCAGGAATAAGCGGCATAGTTACGACATAATTTTGTAGAGACCCCGTCGACATACGAAGTTTCCGGAAATAAACTACTTTTACAATTTCTAAAAGATTTTGTGCAATACGCTCCTGTTAACCACAGGTTGCAGTTAAAATCTCTTCGAAATTGGAAGCATTTTAATAGTGTAGTACATCACAGCATAGTTTTCAACGATTCACATATTATGCATTAAAATTGAAATTTTCATAATAGCAGATAATTCATGCGACGATTGAGTGTTCTATCATGATTAAGCAGAGATATTCTGTGGTTTACTTTACGGACTGATTGTAGTTAGGCAGTCGCTAGAAACAAGAAAGCACTGAATGACTATCCCGTCCTGGTACCGGACTCCTCAACAATGCTCATCAGCAACTGAGGACCTCCAGTTTTTGCGACTAGACCTCAACATTTAGATCACTAAATCAACAATATCGTGAATTGACCGAAGTCAAAAATGTAAAGCATTGGTTTTAGGATTAAGCGCCCGCTGCGTAATTCAACGTACTTTAGTACAAACCACAGTAGAATCGTAGATACAGACATTTGAGGAGCACTATACTAGGACGAAGCAGCTACCCAATACTTCTTTCTCTACACTGGTTCTATTAATAAGACCGGTCTGTGATGTGAATCCTACAGTTTTCACAGTCCCTTCATACTACTAACAATAGAAAAATTATCTTATTGACGGTGAGTTCATATACATAGTCAGCCTCCTGAAGATGATCTCTTTTGATTCGGATCAACTAATTGATGGGTTGCATGACCTTGATATTGTCCTTTAATGGTTAGTCGAATATTAAAAGATGATCGGAACCCATATAGCTGATTGAAGTTAGGTGTCATTTAACACTAGATCATAATACTTTATAAACTCTTCTTTTCAACCTTTATAGACATCAACTTCTAGATGGAACACACACAAAAGTTCATCAACTACATTCGATGCACGTAATGATAGCAATAGTAACAACAGTAATTTATACATTACTGTTTCTTTGCATCATACAAATAGTCAGCATGATGGTCGTGTATCACCATTTATTGCTAAAGTTGCTCAATTAGGTAGCCTGTCTCATGGATCGCATGGCCATAACGATAATCGTTTTCCTAATCCGAAACAAACGCAACCCACAATTCAATTGGTAAGTATTCAAAAACAGCAAAACGTATCTATTTATTCATTTGTATTAGATATTTTAAATGAAATGTAGAGAAAGATTCAGAATGATCCGGGTATATTTAAGATGTTGTCTAACTGATAGAATACATGGTATTTAGAGGGGAAGATTCTAACGTATCAAAAATACTGTTTTCCGGTCACTGGTGTCTCAAAACTCTCGATGAATATGTCTTCATTGGGTTCATTTGAGACAGGCTTGCAGGATAATGTTTACATCTAACTTGCGATGTGGTAGGATGAAATAGTTGTCTTGTACGCTTTAGATTTCGATTAATGTGGCCTGTTACGCCTCGTAGAACATTGATGTCTAAAAATATTTGATGAATATATTTTCATTAGGTTCAGTATAGGTTGGTTTGCAGGACGGTTTTAAACCAATCCGTTACATTTCATTTTATTTCGATAGTATTATATTTATCTTTGTTACTTTGATAATAGGTCTTATTCAATAATTGTTTATTTATGATTCATTTATTTATTTCAACACAAATATCGGTCGAGCTTTGTTCTTTTTACCTGCTCTTACTAACGTATTTCTGCAATAATGTCGTTCATTCTGTAAGTTCATCAAATCAGTCATAGTATTTGGACACGACGAAAGTGTGATTCACGTTAGATACTGGCCGCCAGGTGTAACTTTTACTGGAGTGGGCTCCTAATCATCCTACATAGATCATCTAATTTGGTGATCCACGCTGTTTAGCGCCTTTTGAAAAATACATTTAAGCTTCGGATTGAATATTACAGGTAATGTGGGAAGATATGACCTACACAAAATCACCACACCTGCATAGCCAATCAATGTCATGATGAACAATTATTTTAAGGTTCACCATTTTTTACTTTCTTTTACTGTTACACGTTGAATATAAATCTCCTCGGTAATATGTGTTCATAAGCGAAGATAGATGGTAGCTAGCATTGGAATCTAGGACGCGCGTTTCGCCCTATTTGAGACTCGTCAGCTGGACGTACCTGCATCTCAGAGTTGATGTTCACTCTGGGACTCGAACGCAGTACCGTTCGCTTCAAACGCTTCTTGTTATCCACTTGGCTACTGAGTCGCAAATAGGACGAAACGCGCGTCCTGGATTCCACTGCTAGCCACTATCCATCTTTGCTTGTAATGCCTGTTAATTAAGGTAATGTCGAAGAAATACAAACAGTATGCACATATGCCAATAAGAGATTGATCAATTGCAGTCCTAAGCATCAATGGGAAGATTCAAGTAAAAAAATACCAAGTGAAATTAAATCATATGTTCAGCTTCAAAGATAGCCCTAATGGATGTGACAAATATGTTCCGAATGAGTCTAATTTAAGTCACATTCCTGATTTTATTGTATCATATGTTGGATATTCTCACAACCAATGTATGTTGAGTAGGATCCCTAGTCAGCGGTATGATGAATCAGAGGGAATAGAAAGTTTTCCCGGAGCAATTAGAGGACCAGTTGTTCGAGATATGAAGTTTGCACAGACAGAAAATTCAAACGGAATCCAAGATTATCCTAATGGGCATGACTTACTTATTTACTTACGCCTGTTACTCCTCCTTGAGAAGTATAGGTTGCCCACCATCATTCTACATTTAACTCTGTCCTGGGCAATCCTTTCTAGCTCCTTCCAGTTGTTATTCATCTTCTTCACATCTGATTTTATTTCCCGACATAATGCGTTCTTCGAACTTCCTCTTTTCCGCTTCCCTTCAGGAGTTCAAGTTAGGGCTTGCCTCGTGATGTAGTTTGATGGTTTCCATGATGCATATCCTATCCGCCCCCATCGTCTTTTCCTAATCTCCTCTTCAGCAGGAAGCTGGTTTGTTGTCTCCCACGAAGGGCTGTTGCTGATGGTATCCGGTCAACGGATGATGAATATCTTGCGTAGACAACTATTTATAAATACTTCTACCATCTTGATGATGGTTGGTGTAGTCCTCCAAGTTTCAGCTCCTGCCTTGACATTCGTATTGAAGATTAGCACTTTGGTATTGATTGACAGTTGTTTTGAGCTCCATGTGTTCTTCAACTGAAGGAACGTGACCCTTGCTTTGCCAATCCTCGCCCTTACGTCTGCATCTGAACCTCCTTGTTCATCGATTGTGCTTCCCAGGTATGTGAAGGATTCTACATCTTCCAGAGTTTCGCCACCAAGAAAGATTGGATTGCTGTTCTCCGTGTTGTATTTGAGGATACTGGTTTTCCCCTTGTGTATGTTGAGGCCTAGTGATACAGAGACTGCTGCTACACTGGCTATCTTTATCTGCATTTGTTCGTGTGTTAGTGGGAATGAGGTAAATGAGTATTTTCCGCTTGATTGTTTCGCAGGTGACTCAAGCCAAGATGGATCACGTGTGTTAATTACACATGTCAATCCATATCTATCTGTGTATCCTAATATGAAAAGCAGAAGGAATATGTTCCATATTTTTTATGTAAGTCAAATTCACATGATGGAATGCCTTAAATCACATGTCAGTGTGTATCCCCAAACACTTACGTAAAATAATCGTAGCATGAGATATGTGAAGGTAATGCAAATCGAGAACGTCAAATCGGTCACAACACTGAGACGTAAGGATCCTACATTATTCCGTAGGGGAGGATAGTGTTGGAAAGCCCACCATGCAAATTCTAGATATCATTGGTTTCAATACACAAACGATATAGTGAGTGTATACAGTTCTGGGACCCAAGTGAGTTCGTTCCAGATTCATTTGTTAATTAATGTGCTCATCAGTACATTCTAGATCATACGGACTCTAAATCCAACACACAATCGGACAGTCACATTATGAACCAAGGGAGATGTACGACTGATCACACAGATTAGAAATCTCGTTTAAGCTGTGGGGGATTTGGTATTTGTATGGATTATTGATTCATTTGCACTTGATGACTGTCTGATTTCGAATTCTAAATACAATACGTTCGTTCGTGCTGACCCAAACTTCTTGGTTAGATTGAGTTATTTCTGGGATTCTTAGTTTTTACTTAAATTCAAATACTTAAAACTACCACAGTTTTCACCTCTTCCAGAGCCCGTCCATCAAGTGCGATTCTTTTGCTGTCCATTGTGTTGTATTTTGTGATCTTGCTCTTTTCCTTGTGCATTATGTGTCCTAATTGTTATGACTCTGATGTCTGGCCTTTCTGTCACGCCACTTATCAACCAATCAGAATACGACTTATACAAATCTCCACTCTAACTCCGCCTGGAGTCCCTCCGGGGGCTACTGCCGGTCCCAAGCCCGGATAAAGGAGGAGGGTTGGGCATGGGGTTAGCGTCCCCATCCCGTAGAAAACTAACTCGCTAAAAAAACGCTAACCAGAAAAAATTATTCAAACCTTTTAAACTCTGCCCTGGGAGTCAGAAGGTCTTCATTTAGAAGAATTATGACGCCTCATGATGAAAGCCGAATTCCTTCGGAAGTTACGAGGCCGATGCCCCTTCTGACAACCAGAGCGACCATTTATTTAGGTACATGGAATGTTCGTACAATGTGGGACACCGGAAGAGCCTTCCAAATTGCTGCAGAAATGAGAAGATACAACCTAGAGGTACTTGGGATCAGTGAAACACATTGGACACAAGTTGGACAACAACGACTAACTACAGGAGAGCTCCTGTTATACTCCGGCCATGAAGAAGAAAATGCACCACATACACAAGGAGTTGCATTGATGCTGTCCAAACAAGCGCAAAATGCACTTATAGGATGGGAATCTCATGGACCAAGGATCATCAAAGCCTCGTTCAAAACAAAGAAAGAGGGCATTTCAATGAACATCATCCAATGCTATGCGCCTACCAACGACTACAATGAAGACGCTAAAGATCAATTCTACAATAGGCTGCAGTCAATCGTCGAGAAGTGCCCAACAAAGGACCTGACCATTCTGATGGGAGATTTCAACGCCAAGGTTGGAACGGACAACACTGGATATGAAGACATCATGGGACGACACGGACTGGGAGAAAGAAACGAAAATGGTGAGAGATTTGCAAATCTATGTGCCTTCAATAAGCTGGTCATAGGCGGCACCATATTCCCACATAAACGCATACACAAAACCACATGGACTTCACCGGATCACACCACCAAAACCAAATCGACCATATTTGCATCAACAAAACGTTCAGGAGGACTATAGAGGACGTGAGAACCAAGAGAGGAGCTGATATAGCATCAGATCATCACTTGCTGGTCGCCAAGATGAAATTGAAACTCAAGAAGCACTGGACAACGGGGCGGACAATATCACAAAAGTTCAATACGGCCTTTCTCCAGGATACTAACAAACTCAACAAATTCAAGATAGTCCTCAGCAACAAGTTCCAGGCCTTTCATGATCTACTCAATGGAGAAGGAACTACTGTGGAGAGCAACTGGAAGGGGATCAAAGAGGCAATCACTTCAACATGTCATGAGGTCCTGGGTCACAAGAAGCACCACCACAAGGAATGGATCACTGTTGATACACTGGATAAGATTCAAGAAAGAAGGAACAAGAAGGCAGCAATCAATACCAGTCGAACAAGAGCAGAAAAAGCCAAGGCACAAGCTGAATACACAGAAGTAAACAAACAAGTGAAGAGGAGCATCAGAACCGACAAACGTAAATATGTGGAAGATTTAGCAACGACGGCGGAAAAGGCTGCAAGAGAAGGAAACATGAGACAATTGTATGACACGACAAAGAAACTCTCTGGAAATCGCCGCAAACCAGAACGACCAGTGAAAAGCAAGGAAGGCAAGGTAATCACCAACATTGAAGAGCAACAAAACAGGTGGGTAGAACACTTCAAAGAACTCTTGAATCGACCAGCTCCACTGAACCCACCCAACATCGAAGCAGCACCCACGGACCTCCCAATCAATGTTGGCCCACCAACAATTGAAGAAATCAGCATGGCCATCAGACAAATCAAGAGTGGCAAAGCAGCAGGACCGGACAACATCCAGCAGAGGCACTAAAAGCAGACGTAGCGGCAACTGCAAGGATACTCCACATTCTCTTCAATAAGAT